TGGACTTTGTCTTCCTATTGTACTCATTCAAGACATTGGACTTTGTCTTCCTATTGTACTCATTCAAGACATTGTCTTCCTATTGTACTCATTCAAGACATTGTCTTCCTATTGTACTCATTCAAGACATTGGACATTGTCTTCCTATTGTACTCATTCAAGGCATCGGACATTGTCTTCCTATTGTACTCATTCAAGACATTGGACTTTGTCTTCCTATTGTACTCATTCAAGACATTGGACATTGTCTTCCTATTGTACTCATTCAAGACATTGGACTTTGTCTTCCTATTGTACTCATTCAAGGCATCGGACATTGTCTTCCTATTGTACTCATTCAAGACATTGGACGTTGTCTTCCTATTGTACTCATTCAAGACATTGGACATTGTCTTCCTATTGTACTCATTCAAGACATTGGACGTTGTCTTCCTATTGTACTCATTCAAGACATTGGACGTTGTCTTCCTATTGTACTCATTCAAGACATTGGACATTGTCTTCCTATTGTACTCATTCAAGACATTGGACGTTGTCTTCCTATTGTACTCATTCAAGACATTGGACATTGTCTTCCTATTGTACTCATTCAAGACATTGGACATGACAATGAAAAATTCAAATTTCGTATTTAAATACTCCGTACTTTTGATTAACTATCAGACTACTACTCGCCTAATCTATCAGACTACTACTCGCCTAATCTATCAGACTACTACTCGCCTAATCTATCAGACTACTACTCGCCTAATCTATCAGACTACTACTCGCCTAATCTATCAGACTACTACTCGCCTAATCTATCAGACTACTACTCGCCTAATCTATCAGACTACTACTCGCCTAATCTATCAGACTACTACTCGCCTAATCTATCAGACTACTACTCGCCTAATCTATCAGACTACTACTCGCCTAATCTATCAGACTACTACTCGCCTAATCTATCAGACTACTACTCGCCTAATCTATCAGACTACTACTCGCCTAATCTATCAGACTACTACTCGCCTAATCTATCAGACTACTACTCGCCTAATCAATCAGACTACTACTCGCCTAATCTATCAGACTACTACTCGCCTAATCTATCAGACTACTACTCACCTAATCTATCAGACTACTACTCGCCTAATCTATCAGACTACTACTCGCCTAATGAGACTGTTTTCTCTGTAAAAAAAAACTGCAAATTCGGATCTGTGAATTCTTGATTTTCTGGATCGCAATCCCTATTAGAATAGCACTATATTAAAATATTTTTTTTTTTTAAACATCGACTGCAAATCTTTCTGAAATCTACCCCGCCCCAAAAACCTATCGCTAGCATCTAGACTTCCCTTCGTCTTTGCATGAAGTATTTTTCAAAGTGCCATAATTTGACTTTGGAGTTTGTCTCTCAGATGATACGCTACATGTCGGACAATGTCAACATTCCGCCCACGTTGTATGAGAATGAATATGACGATTACCAGCACGACGATGGTGATGATGATGACGACGATGATGAGTACGACGAAGAAGAGAATGCAATCAAAGGCGCCAACTACAACGACAACATCAGAACGGACACCACCAACAACAAGGCTGGCACAACAATGAACACCAGCTCCAACATGGACGAGTCCAACCCCATCGTGGCCTTCGAACGCAGTAAATCCTCCATCACCGCCATGCGTCGTCACAGTTCGTTTATTGGCAGGAAGAAGGTCCCGTATGAGAACACTTACCGCATGGAGCCCAAGCTGGGCCAACACTTCGTTTGGTGGAAGGTGATCGAGTGTTTTAGCATTTCATTTACAGGGAGTGGTGCTAGCCCTCTTGAGACGGCTGGGCGCCAAAACGGCTCCGCCTCAAGGGGGCGCCAAAACGACTCCGCCTCAAGGGGGCGCCAAAACGGCTCCACATCAAGGGGGCTAGGGTGTTTTCTATTTAATATGTAAAGGGTGACAACCAATAGTTATCAAAACTATTATTCCCGTGGTAAGTCAACGGTTCTTGCCCAATTTCCATCTAGTTTTACAATAAAAATGTATTTTTCATAAACAAGTCGAAGCTATCAAAAAGTTCCAGACCATCTTAAATATCTTTTTATATTATATATATACTTTTTCGAAATAATAAATACGGCCTGCAAAGTGACTATTATAATGCTTAAGTGTTGGACATTGTTGTGTAGCTCCTGTAGAGTGACCATTAGGATGCCAAAGGGTGTTAGACAGTGTTGTGTAGCCCCTGTCTGTAGACAATTCTGGTGTAAATATGTTGGTTATCTTTGGAGGCGTCCTATTCCATTTTCTAATTATCATAACTACGTATGTGAGATGATCACCCTTTCTCTGGGACATTTTCTCATTAATTCTTCTTTCCCCTGTATCCGTATCAAATCTAGACTATGTTTTCCGTAACTGTATAAAATCTATGTTTGCCTGAAACTGTATAAAAACTATGGTACTTGTACCTTTATTAAAAGCCATTTTCCCCCTAAATATGTTTAAGCTATGGTATTGTTATGGCTTTATCAGCATAAAATCTGTGTTTCTTTTAATCGGGATGAAGTGTGCATACAAATCATACCGGTACTCTATTCTTTTCGTCAATTATTTCTCTGGCCAACACAAAATCCAGGTGAGAAATGCAATAGTTAAGCTGATGAACCCAGTCTTTGAAAGCTTCAAATATGACGCCAAGACGGCAGCAACAATGTGTAAACTAATGGCTTCCAAGTGCATGTCTGTTGTGAGTATAGCAATAACAAGTGCGTGTCTGTTGTGAGTATAGCAATAACAAGTGCGTGTCTGTTGTGAGTATAGCAATAACAAGTGCGTGTCTGTTGTGAGTATAGCAATAACAAGTGCATATCTGTTGTGAGTATGGCTATACCAACTCTTCAGCACCTGATCATTTTCAATTAGCTAAAACAGGCCTGCCAGAACCCACTTTGTGGCCCGCTAGGTGTCGAAACTCGTTATTCTAATTATTTCTTAATAACTGTCCCCCTGACCTATTTTCTTTCGGCCCGCACACGTTTTTCATAATATATTACGGCCCGCCTTACATGTTGAGTTGTGCGGGCTTGAGCTAAAACACTATTCACTGTCAACGAAAAGTTCCTTCTTTTCTTCTGCTCCACATAACTTTAAAAGAGGTTGCATTAACTTGCCTCTCCATTGACATTGTAGTTTATATTTTGTAGACGAGTCAGTTGAGATAAGCATGCCTTTAAATATCCCCCCCCCCCAGAATTGTCACTGAGACATTTTAAATGCAACGATAATATCAAAAAACGATAACATTGTAAAGGCATTTCAATAACTCTTGATGAATCAGGTCAAAAGAAGGTTTGACTGTCCCAGGCATCGCTACGTGTGCAATGTGACCCTAGTGCAGCTGAGACAGCAGGGAATCATGATAGGGGACAGGAGCCTGTGGAACACCGCCTACGACAACTATGCTGTCTGTGTTTTTAAAAACAGGACAGCCGTCTGTGTCATCACACTGCATGGCCTCTACCTGGAGTGATCTACAGGGCTCACAGTACGGATGTGCTCTATAGATATGGATTACTTCCCTGGAGTGATCTACCCAGATCTCAGTATTGTTGTTATAATACACATGAAGTATTTGCTCAAGAAAAGCTAACTTGTAGATTAAAAAGTTAGTCTGCTCTTTCAAAGTGTCATCATTCCAATGAACTTTGTCAATGTTCACTCCAGGTCATTATGTTCACTCCAGTTCATTATGTTCACTCCAGGTCATTATGTTCACTCCAGTTCATTATGTTCACTCCAGTTCAGTTCATTATGTTCACTCCAGTTCATTATGTTCACTCCAGTTCATTATGTTCACTCCAGTTCATTATGTTCACTCCAGTTCATTATGTTCACTCCAGTTCATTATGTTCACTCCAGTTCATTATGTTCACTCCAGGTCATTATGTTCACTCCAGTTCATTATGTTCACTCCAGTTCATTATGTTCACTCCAGTTCATTATGTTCACTCCAGTTCATTATGTTCACTCCAGTTCATTATGTTCACTCCAGTTCATTATGTTCACTCCAGTTCATTTATTTTTTAATAGTTTTGACATTTTTTGCTTTCTCAAGCAATCTATGATTTTTTATGAGCAGTCAACATGAGTCTCACACTAATTGTTTCTTTTAAACACAAAAAAAACATTGTTCACTTCATAAATATAAATGATCTATTTCTTTGGGGTCATTACTAGAGGTAATCCTCTGGCCTCTGTTGTTTTTAAAAACAAATATATGTTTTAAAAAATGTGGAGAGGTAATTGTGTGTTCTGTATAATAGTAACGGGTATTAATAATAGTAATAGTGCTATTCAAGACCATGTCTGTTGAATGTCTGTTCCCTTTAGGCTTTTTTAGGTTTTGCTTGTGTATTCTCATAATAATATTGACATATTGACATCTCGGATGAGTGGACAGTCTAGTTTTGAAGCATATGTTCATTGTTTTTTTGTAATTCCATTTTGCTACATATAGACAACATATACCTTAAGGATAATCTAACATCAAATGAAATGTTATGTCAAATATTTCTTCATAACAATTTCCTCTGATGAGGAATATATGTTATAATACATGCAAAAAATTTGTGTTTTTATAACAGACGAAATGGGAGAATTGAAGATGCTAATTTTATTTAAGCTTAGAAACACATAAATAACAAAATGTGATTGGACACACATCACCAAACAAAGCAGATTGGTGGAATGGCTTAAAAATGACAGGTTTACACATCTTCCTGGGGTCCACTATACAGACATTCACCAACACCACTACACCTTCCAGTCAGGGGTGCACCATTCTTACAGACATTCACCAACACCACTACACCTTCCAGTCAGGGGTGCACCATTCTTACAGACATTCACCAACACCACTACACCTTCCAGTCAGGGGTGCACCATTCTTACAGACTTTCACCAACACCACTACACCTTCCAGTCAGGGGTGCACCATTCTTACAGACATTCACCAACACCACTACACCTCCCAGTCAGGGGTGCACCATTCTTACAGACATTCACCAACACCACTACACCTTCCAGTCAGGGGTGCACCATTCTTACAGACATTCACCAACACCACTACACCTTCCAGTCAGGGATGCACCATTCTTACAGACATTCACCAACACCACTACACCTCCCAGTCAGGGATGCACCATTCACCAATACCACTACACCTTCCAGTCAGGGATGCAAAATTCACCAACACCACTACACCTTCCAGTCAGGGATGCACCATTCACCAACACCACTATACCTTCCAGTCAGGGGTGCACAATTCACACAGACATTCACCAACACCACTACACCTTCCAGTCAGGGGTGCACCATTCATACAGACATTCACTCACAACTCTAAGCCTTCAAGTCAGGGGTGCACCATTCACTAAAACAAGACACTGGCCTTGATTAGTAGTTTCACATACCCTGGTTATTGACACCTACAATATGTCAAGTGTTGTGTATAAATTGAAAAACAATGGAGACAACTTTGTTTACACTGTTGTAGGGAAACTTTAAAACAAAAAGATTAAAATAGTAAATATAAAGGAATTAAATTATAATTATTGAAACTGTTCATTTCAAATGTTTTCTATGTGAACTATTCTTACTTTTCTTTTGCTCAAAACAAATTTTTATATTTAGAGTTTAGCCCAAGAAACTTGGGAGCAAAATGGTATTGTATTGCAAAAACATCAAATATCACCAAATTGTCACATCTCAACATTTCTTTGATTGGATGGAACCAGGTGATACGACAAATTCCCACACTTTAAAACATACAAAACAATGAATGCTGCAGGCATAACGATGAAAGTTCCAGAGACAACCTACTACATTAGTAGATGACTCAGTTACATCTGTAACAGAGAACTACCACATTAGTAACTAGTAAAAGACTCTGTAACAGAGGACTACCACTAAGACTCTGTAACAGAGGACTACCACTAAGACTCTGTTACAAAGTTACAGAAGACTGCAATTTCTAAATGTTTCCTAATGAAAGGATAACATAAATATTAACACTAGACTAAGGCTACCGTTTCCAAGGCTAGCGTTACCAAGGCTACCGTTTCCAAGGCTAGCGTTACCAAGGCTACCGTTTCCAAGGCTACCGTTTCCAAGGCTACCGTTACCAAGGCTACCGTTACCAAGGCTAGCGTTACCAAGGCTAGCGTTACCAAGGCTACCGTTTCCAAGGCTACCGTTACCAAGGCTACCGTTACCAAGGCTACCGTTACCAAGGCTACCGTTTCCAAGGCTACCGTTGTTACATCAAATTAGTGAGTGTTTTTTTTTTTTTAAGGGAAAAAAATTTTCATTTTTTTAGTTACATTTTACCAAGGCTACCCTTACCAAGGCTACCCTTACCAAGGCTACCGTTACCAAGGCTACCGTTTCCAAGGCTACCGTTGTTACATCAAATTAGTGAGTGTTTTTTTTTTTTTAAGGGAAAAAAATGTCCAGTCTTTTAGTTACATACAATTTGATCAAATTTAGAAAAATCATTCCTAGCGCAATTATACATGAAATATATCTAATAATTATTTCCTACACAAGCGGGGAATTTCTTTTCTTTCTTGAAACATAGACTCATCTTGACTTGGTGAAAAAATCCAAGTCTTTATGTGAATGATCATGAAAATAAAACAGCAATGCTGTACTTAGGCTCTACACTTGACCTGCAAACACACAGCAGTTCCAAGGCAAGCAGGTTTAAAGGGTAGCATCCAAGAACAATAATGAAACCTGTCAGTTCATGATAACACATGGTTCATATAGTCCAAGTTTTGCTCCAATGGACCTGGTCATGCCATCATGGGACTAGAGTTTCAACACTGAGGCTATACACATCATTGGAAAAAGTATCTGACTGGAGGACCAGGAACATCATCACCATTATCACCGTCAAAAGACACCACGAGGTCAACATATTTTTGGTCAGGGACAGACTTTAGCAGTGTGGTCATTCTGAAAATAGATCAATTTATTGACCTTTGGGACATTTAATGACAACCAAATTAAATATGCAACAATACAACCTCTGATTTGATGGTAATGATTTCATTAACCTGGCTGGTAACCTGCCATCTCATTAGCCACAATGAATTAAGTAAACAAATGACATGCAAGGTAGTGTAACTGGATATCAATTAAAATAGGTCAATGAACTTAAACTTAAATATTTTACTTGAATAAATTTAGTGCATTTTACTTCCCTTTCTGGTAAGCTACAATTAGTTTTTATCACAATTTTCACTTGTAAAAAAAGGGTAGGCGATAATATCTAGAGTTAAGCAAAGGGATTGAATTACAGCATTGGCAGTTTCTTCATGTGTCCAGGCATAAATCTATCTTGACACCTTGAACTATAAGTAACACTAATGACAACTTACAACATCGGCAGTTTCTTCATGTGCCCAGGCATAAATGGCATAAATATGATCTTGACGCCTTGAACTATAGAACTAGCCTCAAATCCAAACTGAACCTAAAAGAATAAAAATTCAAGTATCAATTTCTTCAATTTACAAAAGAATAATATTTAGAAAAGATTAAGAGGTGCAACTTTACTTTTCAATGATAATTTGTTCCAACTATATTGTGAATTATGACTTTAATCTGTTGACTTGAGTCCTTTGAGAGAAGACATTCACAAAAAGACCAGATCTCTTTTGTTCCAACTATATTGTGAATTATGACTTTAATCTGTTGACTTGAGTCCTTTGAGAGAAGACATTCACAAAAAGACCAGATCTCTTTTGTTCCAACTATATTGTGAATTATGGCTTTTATCTGTTGACTTGAGTCCTCTGAGAGAAGACATTCACAAAAAGACCAGATCTCTTTTGTTCCAACTATATTGTGAATTATAACTTTTATGCCAGGTGATGTTGAACAGCCTTGGAGAAAATGACTTCTACGATGCTTTTGACACGTGACAGATTTGTGTTGACATTCCCAAAGGGACTATTTTGGAAGCCATGACAGTTAAATAAGCGTGTAAGTTTACTATTTGTTTTGGTCCATGAACTTTCTGCTAACACCTTGATGACTGGAGGCAGTAATGACCACCACACAATGATAACACCTAAACTGAGTTAGCAAAGTTATAATGAATCATGAGTATGAATAGTATAAAAGTATAATGCTCACCTTACACTGGTCAATAAATTTTTGCAATGTGAAATCCTTGGCACCTTTGATTTCCCATTTGTCCCATATTGTAATGCTCAATCCTTCTCTGTCAAAACATAATACATTTAAATAATTATTATTTTAAAAGATGATATAAAAAAATACACAACCTCCAGTTCCTTTCTTACACACTCAAGTCCATTGCCCCATTCCTAAAGTCTATGCTGTGCTGGAACATTTATCAGTTCAAATCTCAAAATCTAATGAATGCTGAAGGAATAAAATTTCTGCATGATTAATAAATTTACCTCAGCACTGTTTTGGCAACGGGCCCTGGTTCAGACAATAATATCATGGGCAGCGCCAAGTTCAAGAAGCAGTTTTTGAGTTTCTCTAAAGGTAAACGGTGCAGAACTTTGATCATCTCCAGGGCAACCAGACCTGACACGGCCGCTGTGGTTGTAGCGATGGCGGGAACTATTCGGCCTGCAATCTTCTTGATTTTAAATCGGTCACTTATGGCGATGCTGTACATCTGGGCTCTAAGGTTCTACACAATAGAAAAGATACATCAATGAACAGATACAGCAATGAAGAGATACAACAATGAAAAGACAAATCAATGAACAGATAGAGCAATGAAAAGACAAATCAATGAACAGATAAATCAATGAACAGATACAACAATGAAGAGATAAATCACCAGTAGAGACACTCTATTAATATAATATGAATAATAAATTTGAACACAATGTGAAAAAAGTCAAAGATTGAAGAAGCATGGACATTTACTATCATTTACTAATATCTAGTTAAAAATTGTAATTAAATAACAAACTTACTGTTGTTGATGTAATGAAATCTATATGACCGTTGCTGTCATCGTCTTTTTCAAACTCAAGTGCATTCAACACTGGCAGATCAATGAGAAAAGAAGATTACCAGCTTAAATGATCTCTTTTATTAACAGATTTAATCAATTTAAGAACAAATACATCAAGTGCTAACATTTCAACATGCTCTTCTTAATCCCATGTTCAAATGTTTCATCAAAGACTACAGTTTAACAACATCAATTGCTTTGTGTCCTAGCCTGCACTTACCAATATTGGCCGTCTGACCAAACTGATTGAATCTCTGACCAGCTTGTTCTACCACATCAACTGACAACTGCTGGCTGGGAGCTTCATCCTTCGTCACAGCCTCATCTGTCACTATTGTCTTGACAAGAAATATTGACATCTGTCACTATCGTCTTGACAAGAAATATTGGCATCTGTCAATATTCTCTTAACAAGAAATAATGGCTTCAGTCTGCTGATTGTTGAACTTGGTTTTTATCAAACACCAAGTTTAAATGCTGGCACCCCAAGTTTAAATGCTGGCACCCCAAGTTTAAATGCTGGCACCCAAAGTTTAAATGCTGGCACCCCAAGTTTAAATGCTGGTACCCCAAGTTTAAATGCTGGCACCCCAAGTTTAAATGCCGGCAATCCAAGTTTAAATGCTGGCAATCCAAGCTTAAATGCTGGCACCCCAAGTTTAAATGCTGGCACCCCAAGTTTAAATGCTGGCAACCCAAGTTTAAATGCTGGCACCCCAAGTTTAAATGCTGCCCCCCCCCCCCGGACACTTGTCCATCTGTCTCCACATTCGGCATTACATTTAGACAAGCTAGAGGTCATAACAAAACTTAATCCATCCATCCATCCCTGTGGCACTGCATTTAAAAGCCGGCCCCCCAAGTTTAAAAGCCGCCCCCCCCCCCCCGGACACTTGTCCATCTGTCTCCACATTCGGCATTACATTTAGACAAGCTAGAGGTCATAACAAAACTTAATCCATCCATCCATCCCTGTGGCACTGCAGCCTATGAAGGGCTTTGGCCTGCCTCACTACTTCCCTCCACTCAGACCTAATTAATGCTTTTCTTTTCCATGCTTGGATTTTAAGCTGTAGATCTTTACCACATCATGAATCCATCTAAGCCTAGGTCTGCCCTTAAGCCTTTTTTTCCTCTGGGGTATTGGTGATTCACCCTCTTCACTCCTCAGTTATTTGGCATTCTCTCTAAGTGTCCTGCCCAAAAAAACTTAATGCTTACCTTATTTGATGGCTTGAATTCTGGAACTTGGACTTGTGACACGATGGACAATACAACATCTCTACTCAAATCCTGTTAGAACACAACGGTTTAGGTTCATTTAGACCAGTGTAATTCTCAACTTTTTCTATGCACTGTACCCTTATAACTTTCTTTGACTAGGTCTCTCGCCCACTAAAAAAGGACGTGTTTAAAAATTGGAAGAAATTGACTTGCTGTTTGTTTGGAAGAAATTGACTTGATATTTGTTTGGAAGAAACCGACTTCATATTTGTTGGAAGAAATTGACTTGATATTTGTTGGAAGAAATTGACTTGATATTGTTGGAAGAAACTGACTTGATATTTGTTGGAAGAAACTGACTGATATTTGTTGGAAGACATTGACTTGATATTTTTTGGAAGAAATTGACTTCATATTTTTTTTATTGAACTAAATTGAGAACTGTAGAACTTGAAAAATAGACTAGTGACTTATTACATAAAGTAAAATCTTAATGATGAAATAAACATATTAACATTAGTATGATAGCTTTAAAAGTCAAATTGTTCTTCTACTCTCACAATTCTACGACCCCTTGAAACCCCACCCTGGTTTAGATAATACTATATCCAATTTTATTTGCTAATCTTGTAAGGAGAACATCACAGATTAGCTTTTTTTGGGTTCATATTTTAAATGTTTACAATTTTTAAGTACTGTATTAATTTTAAATATATTAGTACTTAGTATTTAGTACATTCAAGATTAATTTAAAATAATTTGAAAATTACTTGAGAAGACCACTTGATACCATAGACATCAGCATACAGTCTGGCTGAGGTAGTGACAAAAAGCAAGTGCCTGTAAATAAAGTCAAACATCATCAGCTGTTAGTTAGTTTCATCTAAAACAATCACTTAACTTGAGATTGCCCTGAACATCAATATGACCCGCATTATCATTCCCCAAGAGATACAAACCATGAGTGCATGTTTGTCATGTGCCTAAAAGAGTTGCCCCTCATGACTTGTGAAACACAAAGCTTTTGTGTCCATAAAGAACACAAGTCTAACAATTTCAAAACAAAATTTGTTTAATCATAATATTGTATAGTGCTTAGATGACTTTCTCTCTCAAGAAAAATATAATAATTCAAATAGCCACTATCATTCTAAATCAGTGATTCTCAACCTTCCTAATGTCGGTACCCTTTAATGCAGTTCCTCATGTTGTGGTGACCCCCAAACATAAAATTATTTTCATTGTCACTTTATAAATAAGTGTTTTCCTATGGTCTTAGGCGACCCCTGAGTAAGGGTCGTTCGATCCCCAAAGAGGTCGCAGACCACAGGTTGAGAACCACTGCTCTAAATGGTTACTAATATATTTGTATCATTTCAACTTTTCAAGTTTTTTTTTACTTACATTTCATCCTCTGGATCAAATCTAACAGGCCTCGGTGGTCTCTTAGGAGGAGCCCAAAATAATGCTGGCAGAGGTATCAAAATGATTAGACATCATAATTTATGCCAATGAAACAGATGAAAAGAGCTATGAATAATGCAGTTAATAAATTCATGTTGATAAAAAGCCAAACAACTTACCGCCATCTTCTAGCTTCCTGTCCAAGGGAAAGGCGTGAAGCAGTTCTTGAGCCTAAAACAAACACAAACCAAAATCACATTGGATTCCTACCACTTCTTCTTTTGGCTTTTAAACCTTATTCAAATTGTCTCTACTTCTATTCTGAATATTTTGAGAAAAAAATAAAACAATAAGACACCCGGAGGTTTGTTAAAATGGTTTTTTTCTTTCGTAAGTTAATAAAGAAAATAAAGTGATCACGCCTTAAGCGGTTCAAAACAAAATTGATGAAACGGAGAACTAAGGGAAGTAAAACTGAGAACTAAGGGAAGTAAAACGGAGAACTAAGGGAAGTAAAACTGAGAACTAAGGGAAGTAAAACTGAGAACTAAGGGAAGTAAAACTGAGAACTAAGGGAAGTAAAACTGTTAGAAAACCTTGTGATGAAAATAGCGTTCAAAACGGAGACGAGCTAAAGCTATGCAATCCTTCCAACACGTCGGGCGATTAACAAGCATCTTGCCGACTTTGGGTGCTCCATCAATGCTCACACCGGCAAGCAGTTGCTGGGATGTTGTAAAAAGATCGATTATTAAAATACAATGACCGCATATGAGTCGAGATATCCGTAAACTGCCATGGCCGAGTTCATCAGGTTTAAAATGAATTTGTTGAAAGCGTCAGTCTATTGACAGTTATATCTCAAAGTCTAACCTTCTCCCTTTGTGGTGTCATTTCATAAGTTTATACAGACAAATGTTAGATCATTATTTTATATCATTATTTCAAGATGCGACCTTTAGATAAAATGTAAATTCCAGGCACGTTTAGATCCATCAAATGGTTTAAATAGATAAAATATACACCAAAGATTCCCAGAAACAAACAGAGATTCAAGTTTTGAAAAAACCAACCTGAGCTACTTGGTGTATGTTTGGATGGACTTCCATGAATTTGTTAAACAATTGAGCATTTTGGACAAAACATTCTTCAAACTGTGCACAATCAGAAACAAGAATAAAAAAATATAGTGATATTATTCTGTCAAGATTCATATGTAACAATTTCTGTCACTAAAATTTCACTGCAACAGTGGCAGAGCTATTAAAAAATGGCATTGTCAAAACAGACATCCTCAAGTGTTGGATGTAGAGATAAACTTGAATTCTGTCTTGTATTGAAATACCCTATCTCTGACCCACTTCTTCACCCTATCTCTGACCCACTTCTTCACCCTATCTCTGACCCACTTCTTCACCCTATCTCTGACCCACTTCTTCACCCTATCTCTGACCCACTTCTTCACCCTATCTCTGACCCACTTCTTCTTCTTCCGTATTTTGAGGGCCCACGATCAATGTATTGATCATTCTGGATGCAATACCTTATCTCTGACCCACTTCTTCTTCTTCCGTATTTTGAGGGCCCACGATCAATGTATTGATCATTCTGGATGCAATACCTTATCTCTGACCCACTTCTTCTTCTTCCGTATTTTGAGGGCCCACGATCAATGTATTGATCATTCTGGATGCAATACCTTATCTCTGGCCCACTGTTCAATACATTATCTCTGGCCCACTGTTTAGGAACTTATCTCTGGCCCACTGTTCATTACCTTATCTCTGGCCCACTGTTCAGTACCTTATCTCTGGCCCACTGTTCATTACCTTATCTCTGGCCCACTGTTCAGTACCTTATCTCTGGCCCACTGTTCAGTACCTTATCTCTGGCCCACTGTTCAGTACCTTATCTCTGGCCCACTGTTCAGTACCTTATCTCTGGCCCACTGTTCAGTACCTTATCTCTTGCCCACTGCTCAATACCTTATCTCTGGCCCACTGTTCAGTACCTTATCTCTGGCCCACTGGTCAGTACCTTATCTCTTGCCCACTGCTCAATACCTTATCTCTGGCCCACTGTTCAGTACCTTATCTCTGGCCCACTGTTCAGTACCGTATCTCTGGCCCACTGTTCAATACCGTATCTCTGGCCCACTTCTCAAAACATTATCTCTAGCCCCCTGTTCTGTACCTTATCTCTGGCTCACTGTTTAGTACCTTATCTCTGGCCCACTGTATGCAGTGCTCCAGTGTAGCAGGGAATGATTTAATTGTGCAGTAAGGAAAATCTTCATCTCTTGGGTCTTGCTGAAGAAATAAAATCAAAACAAATCAAAACAAATCAATAAAATTGTTTATTTTACCAAAAATTAGGCCTTCAAAAGTTACTGGAGACTATTTGGACAAAAACCCTACATAATAAAACTGTAGACTAATTAGACAATTTACAAAAGCTCTACATAATAAAACTGTAGACAATTTAGACAGTCTATATTACTAATAATAGCCGTTGATCATAAAACATAAATTAAGGTATGGATGGAATCAGAATGAATAAGACGCAAGGGAAGTAAATAATAGACTCAAGTTTCAAAGCATTTCTTTGCCTGGAAATGCCTGGAAACTTGAGCCAAGTGAACAGTGCTATGGGAATTGTCTAGAAGGCTAACTCCTCAACAAGATACTCATTTATTTTGTCAATTTCAATCACAGTAAATTATGCAGTTCAATTAAACAGCTGATATAAAACAGAGAACAAACACAAACAAGCTGAGCTACATGACAGTGTTTCTTTGTTAGTAATAGTACAAAATCATGTCTGGGATATGAAATTAAAATTTTTAAAATTGAAATGGTTTTTAAAAGATATTAAAAATAATAATAATAATAATAAAGTTCATTTCAAAAACACACGCTTCATCCCCAAAGGCTCGAAGCGCGGTACAAAGTCAACAAAAAACAAATCTTTAATTTACCACTTTTAAAACAAACGCAACACTACAAAAACTAATTACAAGCATACAATGGCAAAGTCTTTCTAGCCATTTCAACCCTAAGCAACACAGCCATTATGCATTAACTGGAAAATAAGGTAGACAATCATCCCAGAAGGTGTTTGCGAAATAGATGTGTCTTTAAATCGGTTTTAAAGGACTCCAGTGTTTGGTTGTTTCTGAGATCGACAGGAAAGGCGTTCCAAATTGTTGGACCAGTAAATGCGAAAGTGCGCTTTCCGTAAGTGTCAAGGCAAACACGTGGTGTCGAGAAATAAAAAATTCAAATAATAATTCTTGAGAATCGACACATATTTTGGTAACATAATTTTTGTTTAGAAATTTGATTGATCATCATTGAAATCGCAGAGATAAAATCATATTAATACATGAAACGGTGATGAGACAGCAAAAAAAAACAGCTCTAAAATGCCAGCCAGCATATAATATAATATTTTCTATTTGTTGAAACAGTAACACCCAACAATTAAAAGTATCATGCAACAACTCACTTGACTCGTGTAAGACTCTGTTATATGTGGCACTATCACCTGCACATGGCCCTTGGTCCCCATGGTTCCTGATTCCATTAGAGCCCTCTGGTTTGTTACACAGCGTCTAAGAAAGAAACAACAATGATCTTTTTTAATATTTCAGACAATACCATTTTGCCTTACACAAAATTTTAACCGGCAAGTTCCATATTTTTAGCTTTGTAACATGTTTATTAGGTACAGCTATGATTACAGAATAAGATTTATCACTAGGCCTGGATGAAGCTACACAAATTACTTTATGACACCAGCTAATATTTGATAATTACATTTAATTTGATATCAGAAAAGAGAAATAATACATCTCTAATTATTTTAAAAAATACAACCAGGCTGTGCTTTTAATAGCAACAGATTTTTACAACTATTCTGGTGAATATGAGGCCTAACATAAAGAGATCTTTTCATAAGTTTCCTGACAAATCTGATGATAGCTTTATAAAAATATGACCATGTCTTGGTTGCATTTAATTAAGTCTGAAATGCAGTTGAACAGGACTGATTACAGAGGACCAACAACCGGTCCCTGCATTATCAGACTTCAGGGTAATGCAAATAACTATTCACAACTGATCATAACTCCTAGGGTTCGTATGAGTGCCTCATAAAATACCCAGCCCCAAAGTTCATATTCTGGAGAGTTCAAATAAAAAATTACCCATCCATGTAGCGCCTGGCTTCAACATTGTCCAGGGCATTAACAATGATGTCCTGATGTTCAAAAAATGCATCTGTGTAAACAGACTCTTCTGTCTGAGGTCCAACTGAAAGTTAATTTAGATTGATTACCTTCTAACAGAGTGACCAACTAAGTAGTTAAATGAATTGAACATTATGTAAGATTTAATCATTAGTCTGAATGAGCCTCTAACTTAAACCAACCTCTGAACCTCTGACAAACTAATCCTACCGCTATAAATAAGCTGCTTCAACACATACTAGAAAAGGACTTAATTTTTTAATTTTGATTCTGAATTAGAATAATTTGAATGAATTAAAGCGATTTCCTAAAACTTTTACAACAGAAGGTAAGACAGTAGACAGGCTTGTGGATTCACCTGCCAAACAATGTTTAGTTTTAAAACAAAATTCCGAATTTTTAAAAGGTTCTACCTTTATGTTGCTGTGCCTCTATTTTCAAATCTGTAATATCATTGTAAAAAAGTTTTCATTCAAGAATACTAGAGAACTTTAAGTGAAGAAAAGAGAAGGTTTAATACAAGATAATTAAATCTAACTAAATATATTTTAAAATGATTATTTTAAAATTAAATAATGTCTTTATTAATTTTCCTGTAAAAAGTTAACAAGTATTTTTACCTTTGTTGATGTCCAGGGCAGCTTGAGCTGCAGTTGTTGATTTGGGTTTCTGGAAATTATTAAAAACAATTTATATGCCATATCCTTCAATTTTTCTATGACAATGTACTTTAAACTTTAATGCCAAACCCTTCACGAATTTGAGAAAAATCAAAATCATAATAAAGGCAATTTAACGTTAGGCTGTGTGTAGCTTAAGAACATCTAAGCAATTTGAGTGTTTTGACAAAGATGCAATTAACAGGCTACAATATAATATCACTGATTACTTGACAAGACAATGCATTGGACCGGTTGTCACATGCGTTCCACGAGCATTTCAATAGCCATACCTGAATGTGATGAGGCCTAAAGAGAAACTGACGGTTTAAGTTGGACTTTTCTATCAAATCATTATCCGTAATAGTAATCTGGAAATCATACAAAGTTGTTTTTTTATAAGTATCTGTTCACCTTCTTATCTTGTTGATTGAGAAATCAGATAGCTAATAATCAATTTATAATTACATTTTTTTTAAAATCTTATATAATGTCTGTCATGTCCTTACAACAAAAATAAAATGTTGCATGTGAAATATAACTGACAATGATTGAAAAAATCTTAATTCATCTGACAATATACAACATCCACTTGATCTTTGAAAACAAAAGTCCCCAAATTTACAAGGTTACATTTAAAACTCCAGAGCAGAACTGACCTTCCCAGAGCCTGTGCTAATTCCTAATAAGGCATAGTTCTTCAACATTTCACATCCTATAGCTCCACAGCCCACCTGTTTGATGGAATTAGAAAATAATTTCATGTCAATCCACATCCTTCTAGGAAAGCAAACATCAGGCCCATCAAATTCTTTACAAAAAAAAGGTTTATTTCAAATGTTAACTTTCTATTGAAAAAAATGAGAATATATCAATAAATAAGATGCATAGTCAAAATTATAATTTCATTTTAATAAAGTTTTACAAATAAAATTACCAAAAATTAATTATTTTTTTTTAGAAATTGAACCTAAAATAAAGACATACCATGAACAGTTGAGTATTAGACAAAGTCTTGCAACGCGCTTCCCCAACACAAATTCGCAATAAATCGTATCTGTCACCCCTTTCAATAGAAATTGATATTTAAAACTTTAAAAAATAACACAATCCGAGACATTTAATATGTTGCTTAAAATGGAAATTAAACGTTAACAGGAAAAAAATTATTTAATACAAAAATAAGAATAATAAACAATTAAACATGAAAAGTCAGTTGAAATTGAGCCTGCACTTGAATTTAGTAATATTTATACATATAATAATAATAATAATAATAAAGTTCATTTAAAAAACACACGCTTCATCCCCAAAGGCTCGAAGCGCGGTACAAAGTCAACAAAAGACAAATCTATAATTTACCATATTCAAAACAAACGCAACACTACAAAAACTAATTACAAGCACACAATGGCAAAGTCTTTCTAGCCATTTCAACCCCAAGCAACACAGCCATTATGCATTAACTGGAAAATAAGATAGATCTCATATCAGTAGTAAAAATCTGTTCATGTATCTTCCCCAAATATATCATAGGAAATAGGAGCATAAAAAGCTGTATGCAGTTACGCTAAAAAAGGAGTAGCTAAAAGTTGTAAGAGATCATTCCAATAAGACGCATGAGCAAAAATTGTTACATTATAAGAATTTTAGACAACGGCATGCAATGTTTAAGCAGGACAGTAAAAAATGTTAATTTGAGTCAACTGTCTAAACTATTTTATAATGACCACATCCCGTGGCTAAAGCATAAAAAACATCCACTGCTCCCCCCTTCACACCAGATGGAGAGTAGAGAGACTAGTCACCACTGCACCGAGCAGTGGTGCTTCTGGGCTGACTTGTATTATAGCCTTTGCCCTCCTCAGGGGCTACAAATCTTTAAGAGTGGCTGCTGTTTTTTTTTCCAGATAATTAAAACACAATTTTAAAACTTCTTTTTTTTTTTTAAATGTGTTTTTTTTCTGTTACCTTGTTTTCCCATTTGCACTTTAAATATCATTGCCAAACAGGGAAAAACTGTTAAATGTAAGAATTTATACAAATAAAATATATTTGTGGCTTACCGAGGGAGGAACTGCTCAATGTTGATGATTCCTTCTTGAGGTACAACTTCACTGGCATCCAAGTAAAGCTGTAATTATTAATAACACAACCACATAAATATTAATGATACCAACGACATGATTTGTCGTAATGATAACTTCAATATAACATTGAAATTCTATACAAGCTTTAAATGATCAAACCTAAGAAGTTACAAATTCTTTTTCATTTGAATGGCTACAGCTGTCGCATTATTAGTGGAGGACCCTTGCAAATTTTCGGGATTTGCCATTTAGCGATTCAACGCAGTTTCCATTAAAATTTTGCCACATCGCAACCTTGTGCCTTTTAAATATGTCATTCATGGGGTTTGCAGGGCCCATGTGACGGCTGTGAGACCAACACAGTAATTTATTGTTAAAAAAGCTCACCCATTGGTCTAGAGGGGTAAATTTTCCAGTCAGGGCTTTCAACGCCTCCTGTGCCACAACCCCACCAAACACTGCACATAATGGGGCCAGACTCCCAGTGCAGCACCTTGATACCAACTGGAGTAAATTTTCATCCAAATTTTGAACCTAAAAATAAGAGTAACTGTTTAAAAACTGAAACAATATTTTTTAGAATGCATCTTAGAAATGTTTACCATATCCCAGCATTAAAGGTGATGCAGTTTAGTCTTTGTTTATGGAACTACTTGAATGGATATTTGTTTATGGAACTACTTGAGTAGATATTTGATTATGGAACTACTTGAGTAGGTGTTTGTTTATGGAACTACTTGAGTAGATATTTGTTTAAGGAACTACTTGAGTAGATGTTTGTTTATGGAACTACTTGAGTAGATATTTGTTTAAGGAACTACTTGAGTTGATAGAAATCCCAGCAAGCAGAAACGTTTGACCAAAAATTTACTCACTTTTAACTTTAATGATGCGTTTATATCTCTAGCTATATCAATGAACTTAGCAGCATCTGAATCATCCCTGTTAATAAAAATACACAGGGAGATGACAACATCTGGAACTAATCATACAAATGATGACACAAACTGATAAAAAAAAATCTGAGATTAAATACAATTTGTAACATAAATTACTATAAAGACCCACACAATTTTCTTATATTGCAGTATGAGATAATCCATTGTGATCAATAAATATAGCAGGTGTTTATGATGTCAACTTAATAACTGATTTATTCTGGCACTTCTTGTTTAGCAAGTTCCATGCTGTCATAAACCCAACAAGACAGGGGAAGGAGCACAATTTGACCTGCGTCCATCACAAGTCGGAAGCTGTAAAATCTTGAAGGTATTATTAGATGTGTGTCGATTGGATCACTTACCATGTTCTTGGTAGCATATTGAACTGTTCTCTGTATTTTTGTAATGCAAGATGGCTGATATGTAGCACTGGTGGTGACTGTTCAACAAAATGTCAAATGTTATGGGTTAAATTAGAAATAAACAGTTTAGGTCTATAATAATAGATTACACATCATTGGTTATAAATTAAACTGAAGAAAAAAAAATGAATGTATTATTTCCGTTTTACCTAATCAACTTATATAAGGACATATAGACATAGCAGTAGACTTTTCAATAATTAAGAAATTTAAAAAATGGAATTGAATCTTACATCAAATTTGCACAGATCTGGCGTAAGTAAGCTGGGTTCAACAATTTGCTTTTCAAGACACACCTGAGAAAAAAATCCTCCTCAAAATAAACAACCCATTGCAATAGAATAAGGGGAAAAGAAAGCATTAACTTTACAAGCAATATTAAGTAACAAACTCTGTAAATGAACTCAACTAACATTTTTTAAAAACGACTTACAAAATTTTTTGCCACTGGTACTTTAACTTGAGTAAATATGCCACCATCTTCATATTGTGCAAACTCTGGCCCTGATGTATCACAGATGCTGAATGTGTAAGGACTGAGCACTGCAATAAACGATTTGAATTTATTGTTTCCTTAAAAATTATAAATAAAAATGTCATAAATGATCACATATATGTCAAATTAAGGAAATCCATCGAATACTTAATTTCTTAACACCAGTTAAATAATAAAATCTTTAAAAAAATAAAACCTTGAACAGTGAACTGTTTCCCATTGACCCAGGTCATTCCTTGAACTTCTCGGAATGTTACAACATCACCTGTTTCAAGGCCATGGAATCTGTTTTCAAGGCAGCTGACAACACCTGGATTGGCCTAAGTTTGAAAGGTGGAATCAAAATGCTTTAATAAAAATCAGTAATCAAGTGTGCCATGATAGATGCAAAGTATAAATCTTTAACTATATTTTTCTATAAATGCATATAATATTTTAAATAAAAAAGCTTAAGATACTTAACCTAATCGCTTTGCTTATGTAAACAAAATGTATAACTCTAAATTATCACAAATAAAATTAAACTATTTCACTAGCTACATGTGTGAGGTTTATCTGGCAACCCAAAAACCAGGATAGCTTGTTTTATTTTAAAATTTGGGTCATTGCGATTAAACACCACAAGATGAAACACACCAAAATAGCTTTGCATGTGCAATAGTCTAATGAAAATAAGCACTCATTTGCAATACATTTTAATTTAAAATCTTAAAATATGTTAATTTACATTTGTTTCCCAAGTGACATTTGTTGGTAAGCTATACTTCAATTAAAATGGACTTAAAGAAAATTGTTTCCTTTCTTATGTTTCTGGATACCAAGAAACAGGAAATTAGGCAGCACACCTATATTACCTTTGTAATATCACTAACAAAGATATCTTTTGGCTCCTCTCCTGTCGGGTCAAAAATATCAAAGTTTTCTCCAAAGTCAACAAAAGCTGATCCTAGTATACCAAATACATCTGATGATATAAACTGAAGCAAAGAAAGAAAAATGTTTTTTAATTAATTAATACCATAGATATACAATTAACCCCAACTTGTAGAAACAAATTGAAATTTGAATTGTAAAATAATTCTCAGATTTAAACTTAAATTTTTTGAAATGATAACTGTATCCTTTCTCATATTATTATACTATTTTTCACAATAGAAATACTAGTTATTTAAGAAATTAGAAAAAAATTCTCAGTTAATTATCAGATAATTGTACATTATAAGCTAATAACTAGAAGATATGAGTCTGTATTATAATGGAAGGCATATTTTGATACTTTCTACATGCTATTGCAGTCTCAAACTCTAAAAATCCCCACTTTTAACATAAGTAACATAAAAGGTTTTTGATGTATTATATCCTAAAAAAAAAATTACGTCAATTTTCAAAGCTATTGAAATGTATATTTAGGAAATCAGACTTCAAAGAACTATCTATCATATATGTTTAAAGTTTCTAAAATAATTATATATTGAGAGATGTTTATCTTCTATATAACATAGCCTCCTTACCCAATCCTTTTACATGACCATGAACTACAAAGTGAATATATTTTCTAAAAATTGTAAAAACATGTCCTTAAAAAAATAAATCTATATACCATTTTAATTTTCTGTAACATTAACCAATTTTGACATTACCTTTTACCTTGCTTCTGAACTATATTATCGGATTTAAATCACAGAATTTTTATAACTAAAGAAAAATATCTTAGCCAATTTTATTGTCTGTGACAACCTTGTTTTTTTTAATAAGAAATATTTATCACATTAAAATTTACTCGTAGTTTTCCATGTACTGTATTTAGTGCAAAGCGGAAAAAAAAATATTTTATTTTCACAGAAAATATTAACCCCTTGCTGTTTATGCCCCTGAACTGTATTTTCAGGAAATGAAAGAAGAAAAACAATGTCCTCGCACCTGAACTGTAGCTTTGGAAAACTCTCGACGGCCTTATTTTTAAAGCAAAATCCACTTTTTTTCCCCCTTTCCATCTTAACTGAGTTATGTCATATGGGTTTACTTATGCAGACCTGCCAACTTGGCAAGAAAAAACATCCCAATGTACCCACAATGTGTCAAACCACTAAGTTGTATATTCTGATACTGGTATAGCACATTTATTTATTTTAAAGAAAAGATAAAACTTCTTTTTAACGACTATATTATTATCAGATTTAAAGATATAGTTATCCATGTAAAAATGTACACATCGTGTTTCCCCACCCTGAAATGTGCTTTCTGAAGAAGTTAAATACATTATTTCATAACTTCCCATTTCTGGTGAGTAGCATACCTTGGTTTTGATATAATGCTATAAAAATATGCCAACCCACACGGTGGCATGTCTAATGGGGCCACAGAGTGGGTGACAACACACAAATATTTTGTAAAGTTTGTAATAGCAAATAATAAAAGTACAACCAGGATGATAGCCCCCCCCCCCGTAAACCATCACACACTTTTTGCACTAACTTAATCTATATTAAAATTCTAATGTCCCACCACCTTTTACCATGGTATGTATACAAAATCTTTTTAAAAAATAGTTCAATTAATATTTCCTTATATTTAAAGAATATGGTTATTTATTTTTAAAGTAAAATTAAAGTACATTCCAAAGATAAATTCTGTTTGGAGATATTTAATTACTGTGTTAATTTTTAAGTTCATGATTATGTTTGTTAAATTGTATGTACAGGTGGTGAGCCCAGCGCTAGGCTGGGGTACCGCACTATATAAAACCACCACTAATAATAATAATAATACTAATATACCCCCACCCCCGCCACAAATTTTAATCACCCTTGAAATATAAAAAACATAAAATGGTAAAATGCATAGTAATATAGTTCAAATTTAATCTAAATCTATATACCAATTTTTCCACTTACAATATCAACTTTTTTTATTTAAACTACTTTTTAATGTTAAGGTAACAATTTTTCCTTTATAATTTTAGTAAAGAACAACTTGTTAAACTTCATAAATACAAAGCTTAAATTTTGTATTGTGGTGTATTAGCAATTTTAATTAATTTAGTATATGATTAAGCTTTTCATTGGTTCATTCAATTCCATTCAATTCAAGCGAAATTTTGAATTTGATATTGTTTGGACTTATTTGAGCCATTAAAATAAATTTTATTTTAATTTCTTAATTTTGACCACGCAATAAAAATTTAGATTTTCGGGGATACCCGATAAGGGGCCGTCCATAAATTACGTCACGCTCCAGAGGGGGGAGAGGGTGTAAGAAAGTGTGACAGGGGGAGGGGCGGTCAGGCCATGTGTGACGTCACACGTTAATTTTTAAAAAAATGTATTTCTAATTTATTTTTTATTTTTTTAGTGGAATTTAATAGCTTTAAAAATAATTTTCACAAATTGTGTGTATCATTTGAATTAGTTTTATGTCAAAATAGCATGAAATGCGTATCTCCTGAAATTGTTGTTCACTATTCCTCTCGCTAGTATGCTGTTTTATGTATAGCCTTGCTTTCGTCTTTCCTGAAGTATCATTATTTCTTTGTTGTCTGCTGCATAATTATGTCACTGTCCTTTTTATTACTTAATCATTCAGTGAGGTCAAGTTTCTCCAACATACTTCTTAACCTGTGTAAAAAGACTGCATAATCGGAACATTATGTAAAACTTGACCTCACCTATTGTAAATGAAAAAGCAGCTGATAAATGATGTGTATTACATAATTGTCTAGTCTAAGTTTTGCAATTTTTGTTTTCAAATTCAATCTAGATTGAGTTACTGCTTCAATGAATAACTGTGACAACTGTTGACAATTAACTATTCTACTATTAAAGTCATTTTAATAACATGATAGTGGAAATTAAGTGGAAATTTTATATTTTAATACAGTTTAATAGTGAAGTGTGTTTTAGATTAATTTTAATTTGGTGTTATTTTTTTTTAAATTTGTTCGAACGTGAGACGTACTTTGGGGGGGGGGGGGGGGGTGTCGCTGGTTGTTCCGAGATTTGTGACAGAGGGAAGGGGGGGTGGTTAAAAATGGTCAAAAATAGCATGACATACTTTATGGACGGCCCCAAAGTCTGCTTACACATTAATAATGTAATACATAGATGATCAGTGATTGTTAATAATAAAAAGAATGTCAATCTCCTTTAATACAATACCTCACATTCACATAAAATACTTAAAACAATTCTTTAATTATTATATTAAATATATTTCTAATTTTTATAATAATAATAATTGATTCGATTCCCGTAAAATAAAATAAAAATTCACATCAGTGTTTTTAAGAATCCAAATTAAATTTAGGAATTTTTTCTTCAACACAAATTCGCTTGCTGTTTGGTGCAGTAATAAGTAATTTTTATATTGTGCTTTATTGATCTCAGTGTTACATAGTGACTTCTTATAATAATATCTGTTAAAAAATCTATTAAAAATAACTTACTTTTATTGGTGGTAAAGCAGATCTGCAGAAAATATTTACTTTTATCTGTAAGCTTAAAGGAGACTCTGTTAGGATTACACACTGCAAAAATAGAAGTGTTAATAGGATTCAATTTTTGTACATTTGTTTTCACAAAGAACACAATTTTATTTAAATGATTTATTCTTCTATTTTAAACTATGTACTTATTTATTTTAAAAGAAAATATAAAACTTCTTTTTCACAACTAAATATCATCAGATTTAAAGACATAATTTCCCATGTAAAAATGTACGCAAGAATGATAGATTAGCTTATGATAAAATTATGTTTTAGAAATATTTTATGCTTGGTAATTTAAAAAAAATAAATCTATTGATTAATACGCTTCTTAGTTAATTAAAAAAATATCCATTACTTTCAATGAAACATTTGGTTTTCTACCTGATAATTTCTCAAGTAGGACAAATCTGTTTCCTCTGTCAGTGATTCAGTTATTGTCACGACACTAACATAAGGGTTCAATTCAGCTAAATGTTGAGAGCTTGCTTCTGCCCTTTTGAAAAAAAATCAAATGTTAATAAAAAAATGTTTACAATCCAAGTCTGTTTCAGAAAATATGTTTCCGGAAATTAAAATGAAATCAATTAGTACGAAACCAATTTGTATGTAGGCATGTTGTTTAATGGAAGTTAGCTCCAACTGTAGTTTGTTCAAGCGGAACCAAACACATAAACATAAAGATGTATTCTCTTAAAAACATTTTTTTTTTTAAATCTCTAAGAAAATTCATTTTCAACAAAGTTTTGTTAAAACCAAATTCCTTCAAACAATAGGCTTTTGTACAAATTATGGTCATACAAATTTTTGGTAATGAAGAATCTATAACAAAATGGAACAAAAAACATTTTCATTATCAATTTGATTAGTGTCAAATTACTATGTCAATTATAATTTCAGGTCAATTTCTGGGCATATGTTCAGTGTAAATGCAGTATTACTAACCTCCTTACCTATTCTTTGATAGCTGTGCATCACTTTCTCTTAGAAAGAATTGATTGCCCAAATCATTAACAGTTGTAGATTTAGGGTCTTGTAAGATGACAGACTAGAGTGATAAAATTTTAATGTAAAATATAAATAAAATAACAGAAAAACATCTTTGCCAAGTGATTTTTAAATCTCATATTATTAAAATTTCAGAAAGCAAATATAAAAACATTAAATAAAATATAAAAACGGCATGACCTGTTGAACTCACCTTCACTCCAGCTAAGACAATATTTTTAGCTAGAAAAAAAAAGAAAAAAAATATATATGCAATTATATATTTGCTAATAAATATTTAAAATTATTGTTTAATTTAAAAATGACTAAAAGATATTAACTATAAGTTCTTATAAGTGCATTTATTACATTTAATAAATTTTTTAAAGTCCCCTACAGGAAATATTTGTAAAAATATAAAATAGATAACAACAAGCATTTTATCTGTTACAGAGTCTTATGTTTTCTTACCTATTTCAATGCCAAGACCTCCCAAACCATAAATGAGGATGGATGAATTGGCCATGCGATGCATTGCAGTATCTCCCAAGACATATCGCTGGCGGCTAAATAGTGAAAATAATAATAAAACTATTGATTATTCTGAGTTGCTGAGAATGCATGAATACTGTAGCTAAAAATGTAAAAGAGCCTACCTAAAGTTTAAGACTTAAATAACATAATTCCCCTGTCATATATCTGACTGGGTAGCCGAATTTTCTAAACTGGGTAAATCTCAAGCTTGTGGACTGTAGTTCAATGCCCAGACACGCAAAAATACCACCAGCACCTGGGTGGATGGGATTTATTAACCTTGGATGGCAACTCATGTAAGAATAGGAAAAACCCTGAGATGGGGTACCATAGGTGGTATGAAATCGGCACAATGAAAATTCTGACAACTCCTGCGATGCTACTGGTGCCAAGTTGTATCATCCACATATGATGTTTCCTTAGGCTACCCAGGTGTGAAGAGGGAGGTAATTTTCTATCCAGCTTATCTTCCTTAAAGATTTCATCTTGTGAAGTCTATGACATTGTTACATTGTGATGGACTGATGCCAGAAAAATAATCTGAATGGAACTATCTTTAAGAGAGACAAACTTAAGAACAGAATTGCATCTATTAATATGTCATACTAATAGCTTATATTTAATTGTCAATTTTAAAACATAAAAATAAATACCTATAAAGTGAGTCATCAATTTCCATTTGCTCAGCTGCCATTGTTTCAAAATAATCACTCAAGCTGTAAATAAGGACAATTTAAATATAATTTTTTTAAATACATTTCTAGTGATATACCAAAATACTGACATTACCTGAAACAGAATTTCCCCAACCACTTTTTGAAATGGATAAATTTTTATGGTTCAACAAGTATTTTTCTCGCAATTTTATTTCTGCCAAGTACAGCTCAGTTACTTTATTTGTAACTTTAACAAGTTTAAGATTTAGATAATTCTGAATTGTTGTTTTTCAAATGGAGGCAGCAGTGATAGAGGCTCTTGTATTATATTAAGTAGATTTCATTGGACTGCATTACTCTGAAAACTACAGGATATTTTTTTTAGTGTGTGTGTGTGAAAATGGGGGCACTTTAAATCAAGTTTTAAAGGCAAAAGTATTTCACATTCTTAACACTAGTTCAAAAGTTTTATTTAACTAGATTTAAAACATTTTGAAATACAGAAAAATTTGCACCCAATAAAAGAGTAAAATAACTTCAATCCTTTTGAATAATTTTAAATGACCTCAGCACAACTTTTCATATTTAAGGACTTATTTTGTAGTTACATAAATCCAAAATCAATGAACTCTTTAGGAAAGGTTTTCTTTAAAATGTTAGTGAAAAGCCCACATGTCATGTTCAAGAGGAATTTATTTCAAATTAAACATTTCACATAGTTAGGGAAGTAGTCTGCATAAATATGAATGAATTAGGTTTACTAAATCAAGTTAATCATGAGTCAATCACCTGAATGGAATTATTTATCTGGCCCAGAGGCCTAGCTAGAATGTTTGGCGCCCAAGGAAAAGATTCATTTTATGCCCCCTTCAACTCTGAAACCCATTTTTTTCATTAATAAAATACACCATCAAAACCCATTTTAGCAGCCTTAACTGACTGTTGCCTAGGAACACGGTCTCCTCTCCCCCCCCCCCATCCCCCACTCCTAGCTACACCTCTGAACTGGCCTAACCCTCTTCTAGTTTTATAGTAGTATAGTTGTTTTCTGAAACCCATTTTTTTCATTAATAAAATACACCATCAAAACCCATTTTAGCAGCCTTAACTGACTGTTGCCTAGGAACACGGTCTCCTCTCCCCCCCCCCCCATCCCCCACTCCTAGCTACACCTCTGAACTGGCCTAACCCTCTTCTAGTTTTATAGTAGTATAGTTGTTATAAATCAATTGAATATTTAATAGGCCAAACTCATTTTAATTAATAATATCTAGAATTAATCATAAAACTATGGGTACCGTAGTTTCAGTTGTTGAATTGCAATACTATTACTACATGCTCTTAGAAGTTAACATGGTTTTCAATAAAAGGGGCTCTTTTTATCATTCTTGAATTCAATGACTGACCTTAATTATTCACTGTAAATGTAACCACTTTCGTAACTATGACATCTTCGTTAACTTAAAAAAACTATCTGATATGTCAGTCATATTCCCCTGTTTTTTCCATTAAATTTAATGCAAAACAAAAGCCATGAAAATACAGCTTATTTTAAAATAAGGCTGCTGTACCCCAGCTCTTAATATCAGCTTCATTAAATTAGGCTAAATATGAATTTTACTTATGCTCCAGAGCAGTGTTTCCCAACCTTTTTTGTGCCAAGCCCCACCAAAGCCTTTGTAAAATTCTTATGCCTCACATGTATCGTATATATAATTTTTAATTTTCAAAAAATAGGGTTGTTCACTGAAGAAACTTAAACGATTTTTACAAAACTTTTAATGAACGCTTTATTCTAAATTGAGACTTTAATGAGTCTCCTTTTGAAAATACAAGTGAAATCATTGTAGACAGTTGATTTTCAAAATCTTGACAGGTCATTTTTCAAATAGACCCCATAAACAATCAAATTGCCCCTCTGTGGGGCATGGGCCTCACATTGGGAAACAGGGCTCTAGAGTCTAGCAAAAGTCTTTTGCTATATGCTATTACTAGCTATTATTACTATTAATAAAAAGGCCTAAATTTTAATTATTTTACATGAACAGCAACCCACAAATAATGATAATAGGCATGACATAAGGCTAATTGTAATAGAAATATTCATTATAATCACTAATGAATTGATCTGAGTAATCTCCAGGGGGCTTTCCTTATAATATGCACACACTATGTGGTGAGGGGCGGCTTGTTGATTTCGGAGGGGGTCGGGGGTCTCGACAGAGAGTATGTACATTTATGCCAAAATTCTTCAATAATTATTCTTAATTTCTGACAGGCTGTAAAAGCTTATTTATATTTCTAATAAACTTAAGCCATCTATCACCTAAAAATCTGTGATTTCGAATAGTTTCTAAGGCTATATAAATATCACAGTAATGTTTCGTAATTATTGTGATACAGCTGCTTTGTTTTTTTACAAGTGAACGCGTTAGATATTGCACTAGAAACTGTAATATTTAATCCTCCGTTTGCCTTATTATGTTTCTGAGCATGTGGTGTAACTATTTTTAGATTATACCAGTAGTTCCTAAACTTTTTCTATACTCTGCACTATTGCAGAAATAAGGTTTTTCCTCAGAAATTTCTAAACACAAATTCTAACAAATACACTTCTAAATAGCAACTACATTTTTTTTATGATAAAAGGACTGGGTCAAAATAAATACAACAGTACAGGTAATGCCTAAAGTGAGTTAATGGTTTGCACTAGGTGGCTAGATATCATGTCCTTTCACATTGGAATGAAAGCGGTTAGGGTTAATTTTTTTTTTTTTTTAATTTCTTCAAAATAATAATAATAATATTCTTAAGATATTAATTTCAAATTTTATGTGGAATTGTTTAACATTTATAATTATAAACAAATAATACAGGATTATTTGATTCATTTAGTTAAAATTTATGAGTGTACTTTTTCTACATATATATATTATATTCCTATATGAATATGACAAAACAATCATTTTGTCATTTATTTTAAGTTTGTAATCTTATTTTACAAATCAACATAATAAACATGTATTGTTAGAATCAACTTTAGCTGTTAATAGAAAATAAAATAAGTTCTAGTCATTTGCTTAAGGTAAGAACAAGTTTTTATTATTGTTCTTTAGTAATATCTTATGTAATTCTTGGATTATTGTGCCAGAAAGTGTGTTTTTTCTTTGAGAAACTGAGGATTGTATAATAATTCTCTTGTGGAATATTGTGATATGTGATTAAATATAGGATATTTCAATACCAAAGGTAAGTGAAGTGAATATTTTAATTTTTTTTTACTTAGTTTAATGCCTTAAGAATAACAATATTCATTAAAACATAATTATACAGCCTAAAATATCATTACAAATAATTTATTATAATAGCCCTACAAAAAAGTTGCGTTGGGTCTAGGCCTATATAGTATACTTTGTATTATACTATGTTCATACTAGGATATGGACATTATATATATATATAATAATATATATATATATACACACACATAAATATTAATCTATATATAAACTAAATATATTAGTTGTAATAAAAGCTATTTATCCCACTCCTTAAATCATTTATAATAGTATAATTACTATTATAATACTTTTACTAAGACTATCTAAGTCAAAGACAAGTGCTTATCAATCTCATGTCAGCCTTGTCTATGGCAACCAACCCAAAAATTAAAACCACTGATATTTCATAAGCCAATAATAATTATTTATGTTATAAAACATATTTTATTTATATAAAGTGATTTATTATTCGTTATATTTCCCATTTATAATCTGGATAACCAATTTAATGAATTAATAATTACCCCACGGCTGCTATTGATAATTGGAAATAAGGGGACAAGGACGGTGGCCGTGATGACAAATTACACAGCCTATAAAAAATGACATCTGGGACTTTCGTTTTTGAAGCCTACCCATGGTCTACACTCATGAATTTTTAAATCGTTTTAAATGAACCTATAAACTAAAGGAGTGGGGTATTTTTATTATGGAGTGCATTTTTAAAAAAAAAGTTATTGATGAGTGAAGTTTACCTATTTTTAACTTCAATTTTCAAAGCTTTAAACTTGAAAGAAACAATCAAAAGAACTCTCGAAACAACAAGCAAGATATCCGCTTCAAGTAATTGGAAGATGTAGAATTTATTTTTATGCTAAAAATGGATTCTAAAAAGCAAAACGATACCCTCAGTAAATCAAAAAGTGGAGGTTGCAATTTTGACTACGAAATTATGATACCCGTTTTTCTGATATTTCTGGGCCATACCAAAGTCCCTAGCAATAGGTATATACTAATAGTAAATACCAAATACAGTAGTCTGTACTGTAGTAAGGTAATAAGGGGAGAGCCTGAAATCAGGAAGCCTTCGTCAGCAAATTCTTTTGCTGCTCTCTCGGATATTACTTCTCAGCTAAGTGCTATTTTTAAATAATTCTGTTTTTTCTTTTTAAATAATTCTGTTTTTTCTGTTGCTTATTTGGTGACGAAGGCTTCCTGCCCACACGTTTATTGTTTCCTTTTTTCAGTTGACCATGACCATGACCATACTTTGTTTTACGTTGACTAGTTTAGCTCATTTCCTTTTTTATATTGTCCAATACGAGTATAAAATTCCATTCCCGAGTCATGATGTTGAAGAATTTGTGGTATATATACTATTATTAATATACACTAGACTACACTTTTGTAGTTTTTGTAATGTTGAATTTTGCAATTCAATGTGGTATGTACCGCGCTTCGAGCCTTTGGGGATGAAGCGTGCTTTTCAAATAATCTTTATTATTATTATTACACTAGTAATAGTAGTAGTCCTATGTATAGTTATTAGCATAATATATATCAGATGAGGTTAACTACCGTGCCGTTGTTATCCGTTGCCGTTATCGAAAATATATCATGTGGTCGACAATTTTCGCAACTTTTGAAGCATACACTAATTTTTAATAAATTATTTTGGGGAGCTTAAATAAATTGGACATACAAGAGTACGTTGAAAGGTGGAGACTTAAGTTCCCTTACGCCAGTGAAAGTCTTGATCGAGATTTACCAAAGTAACTTCTGTTTCATTGATCATTGAATGTTTACTTCCTTATCGTTTGTTTCCGTATATTTGCCGGTACCGGAAAAAGAACCGAACGAATCTGTTATAGGGGCAACTATTGGGTCTTTTCAATCTTGTGGACTCCAGATAACCAATCAAGTCGGAGCGCTCTTCTTAGTTTTTATTCTGGTTAGAGACTCGGCATTTCCTGGCAAACAGATTTTAGTCATTCTTGAGTTTCGTGTTCAACAGCTTAAATTGCTTCGTATTATAACAAGGAAGCAACATGGATTCTGACGAGCATGGCCCCATAACGCCAAGTTCTTTGCTGCTTATTATTGGAGAGCCCTTTTCTGAAGAACAGAAGTTACTCATTCTTTCGGAGATAACAAAAGGTAAGTTCATGTCTGTCTGAAAAATATTTTTTTTTACACGGCATCTGTCGTCTGGCACGGTAGACTGCAGACTGAGACCAGACAACCTTCTTCAATTTTTTTGGTGTGTTTTGTTTTAATTCGCTTCAATTCATTTTCATCCCAAGCATCCAAGAAGTAGGCTTAACAGCTGCACTTAATTCTTGGTTTGGTAGTCCTCTTATTATATCAGTTAAGATTAGTTAAGAATATTAAGATTAAGAAGTCAAATAATTAAAATAGAATCCAGTAGACTAGTAGACAATGCTATTTATTTGAAATGGGAAGTGACCAGTGTGTTTTGATTAATTTTGCCAACTGACAACTGCCCATTTCTCTATTACTATTATTGACTTGATAATTGTCAGACACCCCTCTTTCATTGAACAACCAAGTCATTGACTCTGTGATAGTACTATAATTCACACTTTATTTAGTGCCCTCTGTATTCTAATAATATATATAGTCTAGTATAGACTAGACACTATAACTATAGTATAGTCTTTGTCTAAGACAGTATTGGAAACTTGAAGGTAGAGGATGAAACATTGAATGGCATAAGTATAAGGCAGGGGGTAGTCTATCAGTTAAGGGTCACAAATCACTGTCACTAGCATTAAGCCATATGATAAAATTTATTATAATATATGATAATTTTTTATCTAAATACTAAAGGCTGCATTGACCACAGCTGTACTGTAGTTGCATGCCTAAACATAGACATAGCTTATCTATGGACCCAAGAACTTAGGTCATTGGCGGCAGCCTTAAACTCTTTTTTTTTGAGAAAGCAGCCAGCAGTTAATATGTATATATAGTGTTTGTTTTGGTTTGATTTTTTTTTTATTGATTTGTAGGTATGAACTTTACTTACCTTAGTCTAATAGTAGAGTATATATTCTGGTTTCAATTCCCAAACACTGTTTATCCTTTTTTTCATCTTAATTTTCTTTATTCTTTATTTGTGTTTTTGTTCAGTATTTTACCTTAAAAATGGTTAGGCCTATATACTACTTTCATTAACTATACATATTGAATGCAGTTTTTAGCTAATTCGTAATTTCGACCGTGCATGTGTAAGTGAAGTCAAGTTTTTGGAATTATTTGTTTTATTTGGCCTAGCAGCTTTAAAAAATGTGGAATCTTACAAAACTTTGTGTGGCCAAGATAGCTTTGGTCAACATTCATAGAAAGCCTGTTGGTCCCACAGTTGGGGGAAGAGTCTGAAAATATGTTGGGTCTGGCATTTTATTTTACCGTCAGCATAATTGTCCCATGAATTACAGCAGAGACCTTCATATGTGTTTGTCAAATCATTAAGTTTCTTAAATATTAAGTTGCTACACAGTATAAACTGACTCCTATGCTCCATGTTTCATGCTATATCTTGTCAGCAGAGCCCCCTGACACACACACAAATACCCCTTAAACATGTATTCACAGATCTCCCTTATACCCATCGTCCTTGACTCATGCTCACACACATTCCCCTGACTCAATTACATATTCCTTTGAGACACCCACATTCCCATGACAGACACATAGTTACCTGATACAGAGTCCCCTGACATACACACATAATCTTCTGACTAAAAAACATTCACTTGACACACACAGAGTCCCACGGCACTCACAGAGTCCCATGACTCTGACACAGAATCCCCTGCTGAGTTTCCTGAAACATACACACACATAGTGCTCTGATACTCACACACACATACCACATGTAGTGTCCCCTGAAACACACATTTATCCCCCTGACACACACACCCCAATCCCCCTGACACACACACCCCAGGTCCTTAAAGACACAGAGGGCCTTGACACGCATTAAAACTTGCTGTTTTTCTCTAATTTTCAATACATATTTTTGTTGTTTCTTCTGAATTCGATCCACTGTAATCATTGTTTTGGTCCCCTTAGTGTGTCCTCACTGTAACACTGATTTATAAATGCATTGTTTTGACTTTCAATTTTCATTTAAATTCATTTCTAAATATACCATGTATACATTTCTTTAAGACTGTGTTCCTAACAAACATCTTCAGTATTATGTGTAAAAATGGGGGACATGGTGTTGGAATGAACACAGCTTAGGCCTACAACACTTACGGGTCGTTCGCAAATTACCTCACCCTCAAAGGGGATTGTGGGGTGGGGTCGAGAACTAGTGACACTTTGTGACATAGCTTTTTTTTTTTTTTTTTTTTTTTTTTAAATTTAATTTTAAAAATTAATATGAGGTTGAAATTGCCTGAGGTATTATAGGTATTCCTACTTTGAAACTCAGTTTTCTAATAATACAACATCTTAATCTATTATAGGAAAATTTTATAGAATAAAATAAAATCTCAGTTAAGTTATGAAAATTTTAACTGTGTTTTGATTTTTTTTTAGATGTGACATAACCCGGGGAGGGGGGAATTTGTGACACTTCGTGACCGGGGTTATTTTTAGGGTGGCGTAATTTACGAACGCCCCTTACGCCATAGTGCTAGACTGAGCACAGTTAAGGCATACTACAATTACACCTAGCTTTCATAGATTCTTTCTCAGCTCGCAAATTTTTTATGTATTATTTACTCCTTTTCTGCCGGCACCCCATTCCTCCCTCTCTCCCCCCCCCAAACTTGTACATCCTCATTATCTTTTCGTTTAGTTCAGCTCTTAATGTTACAAAATATTTTAAAGAAAAAATGCGTTTCTAAATGAACGCATTGCTTGTTGTCTTTCTGGTGTTATCTGTTCACGGGAATTGTTTGGCGTGTTCATGAATGGTGGCAGTAAATAGGTCAAGTTCACAAAGAAAAGGTATTGAACACCCACCCACCCCCTTTTCCTGCTCATCTTCAGATCCACCGTTTCTCCTCCTGTCTTTCGCTCACATGCACTACATCAGGCCAGTCCGTTGAAACATGTGAGCTACCCGTGTAGCACATAGTTGCTGTCCAGACTGCACGCCACAACAGTAACCGCCACTATTACTTCACACACACAAATTTTGTAAATAAAAGAGTCAGTATAGTATTGAGAGATCTTATCGTTTGCTACTAATTTGAAAAAAATATCTGTATCCAATGGCGCAACACAGGCGTGTCATGTGTCATCGCCACCTCATTGATTGGTGTCGAAGTCAAACATTCCAGAATATCTAAATGATGTGTTATACATCAACCATTACATTAAGGGGGTGTGTATCAGCTAAACTATATTCTATAGGAATAAGAGCGTGGTGCGCGTGTGTGTAAATGTATTGTGATCGCGTCTTCTTGTAACACACCCGGGCACCCTCGTAGGGCCCCTCTCCTCTGCATGTGCTCTTCTTTCACATACCCGTTACTGCATTATAGTGCATGCATCTTTTAGCCCATGTGGTATCTGAGGCATCGGACATTATATATATATAGTTGTCAATGTCACTTATCAGCGAACATGTCAGTACTCTGCCTTGGTAGAGGCAGAACGACTGTATCCTTGCACTCCCCACCTTCACGTGTGTCCGTGTTTGCAGAAAGGAGTGTGAAGTGAAAGAAAGCACGTCTGCTTATTTACTGATATATGGAGTTGATCTCATCTCTTCCTTCACTCTCTTGGTACTAACTGTACAACTGTGAACCTTCATGGCCGACACCGCCATGATACCCCCCCCCCAAACACCCCTCGCGCCTCGTTCAAAAGCTTACTGTTAACTTAAGGTGACGCACCTACCGTCTTTCATGGGAAGGTACGGGTTTTCAAACTACTGCCATGACTCATCCCTTTCATTCAATAGATGGGCCAGTTGTTTGCTTCATTATGACTTGACTACATAATCTGTTCTACCGTGGTATCAACGATGTGTCTCACCATTTTCATACATTTTAAATTTTCATCATAACAAAATCATTAACTTATTTTAAGTATATGAGATGGTTATGTTAAGAAAAGGTAACCCATTTTGCTTTAGACCTCTAGTCCAGGGTTTCCCAAAATGGGGTGAGTTGGCATATCAGGGGTGCGAGAGAGAATGGTTGTAAGAGCAGAAGGGGGGGGGGTGCGATTGGCTCTTAAGTTTTGATAAAAATAGAAATGTTTCTCTATTCTCTTCATTTCTATTGGACAAAGTCGAAGTTCCACCGTTCTCTTTCTTTCTTTTTAATTCAATTAAGTAAAAAATGTTTAAAAAAATATAAAGTCCACTTTTTCCCCCAATTAGACTTTTTTTAGACAGTGCGAGACTTTGTCAAACAATTCCTAGGGGATAATGAATATATAAAAGAGTTTGTGAGACCCTGCTCTATGTGATTTGACTAGCAGGAGTATCATTGGTAAGCCAACTAGTGAAAACCCAAACATCATGTATAGAGGACCATATTCCTCACTGTCAGTGTAGTCCTACTTGACCTCCATTGCATGGGTTGGGCACTTGTGTTATTTGCCGGGAATCCTGAGAGTTGCTTTCTTTCTTCTCCTGTCTAGCATTAGATCTCTAATCACTGCCAGTTAATGCGCCAAAAATGGTAACGTAAGATAATGTCTGCTCAGTTTAGTTGACTATGTGGGATCTATCACCTGTCTCATGAACGCTTCATTGGCAACGTGTTCCATGGCATACACATTTTATGTTATTGATTGAAAGTGTGACAAGTATCAAAAGAATTAGTTTCTACGGGTCGTGGTGAT